GATGGCGCAATTTTAGACCAGAAAAAATCAGCTCTTTTTAGTCTAGCCGGAACCACTCCACATCTCGGCGACACTGCCAAACCTCTCAAAAACTCTCGGGACCCGATCACGCAATTCTGTCGGTCGTTTCAGCATTTCAAGCAGTCTATGAACTGTGGTCATTCTCGGCATCTGTAAGTGGAAACTTAGACGTTGACATGTCACGTGGCACAGATCTCCAGTCACCCACGTTGTTTTCCCTGCAGATTCCAAAAATAAGCTCAAATTTGTGCTATGTACAGAGTACAACCACACTAATGCACTCGTATTAGTCACCGGTCAATCCGCCGGCCATGTTCATTGCTATCGTGTCAATCTGTATATATCCCTCCTCCCGTTCCTAAACGCCATGAAATATCGAATAATCGCTCCCAAAACAAAAACAAATAACACCTGGTGCCAATCGGATATGATAATGAAATGGTCAAAGAATCACAAACACAAAATCAGAATGAAGAAGGAGCGGAGTCTGTGTCCCAAAGAAACCTTAAAAAACAGAAAAACCGCCCATGATCGTATCTCGTAAAAACAATAGAGCCAACGCCAGTGTAGCGCCTTGTCAGCTCTGTAAAGTGTCTCATTAAGTAAATCAGAAAAACAAAAACAGATCAATATGAAGGTCAAGGCCACTTGAAAGTGGCATGCGATGCAAATTCTTCACTTAGGCGGCGTTGCGCCCACGGTGGGCGAAGCAACGGCCACGTTCGACGTAGGAGGCATCTTGCCAGCGACTGGAGTTGGTGCTCGCTTCGCCATTAAAGCAAGCTTCTTGCGAAGCGCTGCCAATCGGCCCCGGATGCTGGATACCACTGTAACGTAGTTAGAACAAATGTACACACATGTTTGGGGTCAAAAAAACTCACATTTGACAACCACTTGCCGGTCCTCTGCTTGCATCTCATCCAGGATAATCCTGTCATCGCTCGGAGTACCTCCTGCTCGCGACGACGACGGTCCCTCCTCAAGCACCGCTTCCAACATGCGTATAGCGGTGACGTATGCAATCTCGCACCCGGGGAGATCTTCACCAGTAAGCTCATTGATGGCGGCCGCCCGACTCATTTCCAACGCGCGATCGTACATCAGTTTCTCTGCCGTCACGCCGGAGCTGACCATCACATCCACAGAGCCAGCGGAACCAGCAGACGAGGCGATCGAGCGATTGCTTGTCTGGCCTGCCAGTCGCTTTTGCCCTTCGACCAATTTCAACCGGACAAATTCTGCTTTCTCCAAGACCTCGTTGAAGCGACCCCGCACCCATTGGACAACATTGTTGACTCGAGTGCCTACGACACCACTGGTAGGATCACTCGACTTGTCAGCAAATGGGTCGCGGTTCTTGCGTGACCACCAGGCACCGGCGATATCCATGGATTTGGCCAATTGTGAAAGCGCCTTGACGTAGAGTACCAACGCTTCCTCCGCAAGAGTCACAGTGGCGTCAAAAGTCAACCCAGTATCCGCGAATTCCGAGCTGTCCTGATCAAGGTCCGGTGCATTGGATCTCATGGCCTGTTGTTCGAGCTGGGCCGATGGCGCCAAAGGAATGAGCTGCTTGTATTTCACTTCGGCGAAACCATATACAACATCACTACGGGTTGCACACTCCTCAATTACTTGGACAGTCTTGGTATCTTCATCTAGAGCCACGTTGGTTTTGGCACCATCTCCAACAATCATCAGACTACCTTGAGCAGGGTAGGCCGGAAATGGATTGTAGCCCAGGGGAGGCGACCGTCCACCTTTTGTGACTGTCATTGGCGGCGAGAAGCCCATCCCAAATAGTCTCCCACTGGCCATGTTAAGCGCCTTTGAAATGGCCGATGTTGCCGACGTAGGACTCTGGCCGTACCGCCGTTCATACGAACCCTGACGGCTGTGACCTGAATCCGCACGCCCCCGCCCCGGGATTATTTGCATGGCCTTGCTGGCAGGAGGTTGACCGGACGTGCTTGTGGTCGTCGCACTTGGTGTCGTCGTACGACGAGAAATGGTGCCTTGCCCCGGACGGGCATAACCCTGAATGCGAGGACTATGTGCCAGCTCATCTGCAAAGGCGTTGACCTCAACTGCACGCTTTTCCACAACCACATAATCCCTCTCGAACGCAACTTCCTGTGCAGCACGCTCCCGCTCTTCCCTTGTACCGTCTGTTGCAGGTTTCTGGCCTTGCGGCACTCTTTGGGCTCCGGTCGGAACATTTCGGTCGACGAGTTCCTGGCGGGCCGGAGCAGTAGCGGTGGAAATGGGTGGCGGTCGTTGCGGAGGGGTCATGGCACGTGGTGGCTCTTTGGCAGCGGACGGAGGCCTATCAGCACTTCCCATTCTCCGCATCGGTGTAACACCAGGAGGTGTCCCCGACTTCTGACGAGGAGTCGGTGGCTGTTGAGCCGGTATCGGCTTCTCCGGCGGTTCCTCTCGGGTCGTTGCGGGCTGTGTAACTTCCTTTTCACGCTTAGGTTCAATTGGGGTACTAGGTCCAGGACGGGACTCGGGCCGAAGCGCCTGTGGCACGGCACCGGTTTCCACAGAAGAACGACGACGATCTGATGTATCGTCGAGTACTAACCCAGGAATAGGCCCCTTGATGATGTTGCTCTCGAAGAAGTCGTTGAAGGTCATACGTTCCACTGGATTCCGCTTGAGTAGGCCACGGATTAGTTTCTTAACGTCGTCGGTCGCCGGGTTCTCTTCAGGGAACTTGATCCTATCCTCCCCTTTCTCGATCTTCCGAAGTAGTTCCACATGGTTCGATGCTCGAAACGGTGGCTTTCCCACCACCATCTCATAAAGCACAGTACCAACAGACCATAAATCTGCCTTGGCATCGTACTTCTCATATCGAAGAATCTCGGGGGCCATGTACAATGGGGACCCACAGAGGGTTTCAGCTAACGATGTGGCTGGAAGGGAACGAGCAAAGCCAAAGTCTGCAATCTTGAGCATGGGTAATGACTCGAGACCGGTTTCTGGGTTAAACGAGTCCTCGCTGCCCTTGAAGGGAACAACTTGGGCAACGCCGGCCCGGTAGGATGCGGGAGCCGGACAGAGAAGCAGATTCTGCGGCTTGATATCACGATGGATAAGATTCCGGTCTCGAAGGAACTTGAGGGAGCTAGATAATTGCTTGAGAAAATGACGAACAATGACCTCGTTGAGAGCACCACCCCGGGGGTTGGGATACTTGGCCATCATGTCCCGTGTATACCGGTGCTCCCCGAGGGTGTCCCGCCGTTTGATAAACAACGACAGGTCCCCGAGGGCACAGTACTCCATAACCAGGTGAATATGAGATGTTGATTCATGGCAGTCGATGAGAGCGACGATATGAGGATGGTAGAGGCCCTTGAGGATCTGAATCTCGGAGTAGAGATTCTCCTTCAGCTTCCGGTTGAGCTTCGACAGGTTGACCGACTTGATGGCGACATAGGTGCGTGATTTCTAAAGCAAACAAAGATATCAGCATTTGCTCATCAATTCAATAAGGGGGAGAAAAAGTACACACCGTATGCACTCCCTGGTAGACAGTAGCAAAGCTCCCACGACCAATCTCATCAAGCCTTGTGTAGCGGCCAACGGGCATCTGAGTCCCGGAGGCGTCTCTTGGCCTCCTCGAGTGATGCGAAGAGGCCATGAGTGAAGATGAAGATGGATAAGAGAGATATATTCCTTTCTGATAGACAAGAGAAGATAAACACCACTTTCACACCCCAAAGAAACTCCCAACTACCTCAGCAGCGTTAGAAACAGCGGCGACGGATGATAACGGAGGCCCATCAGGGGAAACAAGGGTTGGGGAGGAGGAGATGATGTGTAATGCCGATCCGAGAACCGAAGAACCGTCCAACGATGAGTAGTGGAAGTGGAAGTGGATGGGAAATGAAGTCGAGGTGAGTAGGGGAAAGGAAGAAGGGAAAGGAAGCTACCCAGGTAGGTAGAGGCCGGGGACCCGTGGAACGAGGAGGAGAGTCGAGAACCAAGAAACGAGTACGAGTAGTAGTGGGTATATATGAAGCCGGAAGGGAAGCACCGGAAGACAACGCGCGCAAAGCCAAACAACAGTACAGTTGCACTATGATAGAGAGAGCGGTGAGGAGTCGAATCGACGAGGATAAACGGGATGGTTGTTGGTTGATTGGTCGGTTATACTAGTAACGAGTATGTAGATAGATCGTAGGACTAAGGCGACTTGCAGGAGAAAGTCAGTAGATAATTCGCTGATAAGAGCACAACGCAGATGTAGGTATTTCCGGGGAGGGGATAAGTGGAAGAAAAGTACAGTACAAGTATGAGTGATTCTTTTAAAAAGCAGAGATGAGCTGACCTGGTCTAATGGACGCTGGAGATGATGTGATGGAATGTCAAGTCTGGGGGGGGGGAAACGGCACTGGGCCCAAGGAACAACAGAGTGTGACTGCGTGAGTGACCCGGGGGAGGCGATAACAGTGGGCAAAGGCGGTCAGGAGGGCGGCGAGTGATCGATGATGTAATGCTCCAGATGATTGTGCTGGGTATACGATAATAATATTGAATATACTAAGGATAGTAGAATATCAATAATACAAAGAAGAGCAGAAATAGAGGATGGAAAAGAGATATGAGATGAAGAATGAAGAATGAAGGAGAAGGAGAAGGACGAACACAGATAACATGGCCTGAGGCCGGAAACGATAACGGCGTACGACGATACCGATACAGGGCGGTCTGTTATCGATTAGATAGAGCTAGCGGGCGATCGCGGGTAACTTACCGTAATTTTCCCGTTTTTGAGGCTGCTTCATCAGCTGATCTGCAGTATTACCCCGTATTCCCAATACTAGTGGTATTGGATGACTGATCCGCACATGACTCACCAGGTGACTGGCGTGTTATATGGGGGAGAAGTGTAGAACTGTGCCAATAATAGCACAGGACAATAAAGAAGAAAGAATGTGAAACAAGAGATATTTTCATTCATGAATGTATGAAAGGAACAAAAGTATGGATTCTGCCATGTCATCCATGCCAACGTCTAGACCCGCGGAACCGCTGGATGCACTGAAATTCTCTTATCATAGGCTGTCGTCGCTACCCATAAATCTGCAACTATGATCCCCGGGAAAAGCAGATAAATCAATCGATCATCTCTGCATCACGCATTGCTGAATCCAGACCCAACACCATCATATCAGAAAGGGGTCAAAAAGTACTTGTATATGTATGTACACGAATCAAACTCCAAGCCCTCGCACCAACAGCCATAACACTACCGGGACTACCACATTATCATTGCATCCTGTCAGGATCGCCTCGGTCGCACTGGTCCCTCCAGCTGCCAATACGGCTTTGAGCATAGCCCATGGCCATGAAAATGGCTCTTCCTGTCCGTTGACTGGCCATCGCCCAACAGCCAACCAAATCCGCGCACACATCAACCCGCAGAACACAGCAGCCGCAAATGCGACACTGCCTTCGAGAGACTTTCCTCCGCCCCAGAACCATTTCACCCGGCCATATCGCCGACCGATCAGCGATGCGGCTGCGTCTCCCATTCCGACGCAAATAACGCCGCTGACCATACTGACGTCCCGGGAGAGCACGCCCCACCCGGCCCATGGGCCGTCTCCGGTGCGGGGGATATCGGCAAGGGAGAGCCAGAGTGGGATCGAGCATCCGATCAGGAGGAATATGTGCGAGACAATGACTGGTCCGCGATGGTCACGGCCATCGACGTAGGGTGCGAGGAAGTGCGTCAACGGTCGAGAAATGGGTGGTAATTGAGACGCTCTGAACAGGTCCAAGAGCAGGAACATGGCTAGAACGGTGCCCAGGGCAAGGGAGCAGAATGCTGGGTCGATGAAGATCGTCGGGAGGAACATCAGCACCATCATACCATGGAACACTTTGCGCCGGGTATCGACCTCTGCAATATTGCTCAGCCTAAACACGATCGCCATACCGGTCAGGAGTACCGTGAAGCAGTATGCACTGACCAGCAGGCGCGTATTGGCTTCCCCAAAGGTCTCCTGTCGCAGGTGTTCCACGCAACCAAGCACACATGATGAATGCGCCTCATCCATGTCAAGGCGAGCAGGTAATCGAATCCACCCTTCTAGATTCCTTATGACCACCCAGAATCGGAACAGGGAGAGATTCCCAAAGAGATACCCCAACCCCCAGCCAAAGGGCTCATCTCCGCTCAACGCTGCCTCAGTCACATACTTCCGAATAGGGCCCATAGCAATCCCCAGGATAGCGACATAGATATACGCCGCGTAGAACCACTTGCGTACTGTCGCCTGGGGAACCGTCATCGACAGGAAAGACGCCAAACCGGGAGCCATTAAACGTTTCCGTCGACCCTTAGCTGTAGTCCTCTGTGCAATATTCTCAACAGTAGAAATAGTGTGCCGTCGTTTATGACCAGCATCTGGCCTCACAGGTCTCTCTTGTACCCTCTCAAAGGACATAAGACCCCCGGCGAGAGGCGTTTCAAGAGTCTTGCGTGACTTTAGCGGAGGAGGATCTTCTCCCTCCTCACTATCCGATGTAAGCTCCTCCGGAGACCCCGTCCGACCCAACTTCTCGCAGACTTGGTGATCGATAAAGTTCAGAACACCCCTCGCCGTTTGCGAATTGCTCGGATATCGCCGGAACTTCCAACTGGGAATTCTAGCCAACGCAACCTCCCAACTGAGAACATGTCGACAGAAAATGAAAATGCACAGTCCACCCAGCCATAACAGCGCCTTGAGGATCTCCGCCTGAGGTGAAGCTGCAAAAAGGTATAGATTGATAAGAGCCGTCGCCAACAGCTGCAGCTCTGCTGGTAAAAGACTCGTAGCGAGTAAGAAATCAAGAATGGGTATCAATGCTTGCTGCAAAGGAAAAACGAGAGCCAAGGCTTCCGAATCGATGCCGTAAAGTGACAATGGCTTGGGCGGGGCATCTCCCCAAGCCAAGTTCTCAGACACACACAGGGGAATCAATGTGATCAGCCAATGGGCTATACTGTAGCCATGGTTCCACACATGTAACGGAATAACCGGCGTCGGTAGCGACGAGAGGCCGAGCAGGATGTTCGGCAGTATTAATACAGGTCTATGATGCGACAAGGAAAGCGAAACGAAAATCGGAACGAGGATCGGATAAATGAGCGGCGCAGGATCGAAGCTGGCAGGTATCGAGAACGAGGGGAGTTTCAATCGCGGAGACCTCCGTCTGGATATGCTAAACGGATACGCCGCATAAAGACCGCTCACCAATAGCCCATACGTAGCAATCTCTGCACTCGTCAGCCACAATCCATCTCAATCCCATTGCACAGCACCACAAATACATACCCTTCCTCCAAACCCACGCAACCACCCTTACATCCACCGGTCTAACCACCACCGCCCCAACAGAAGCCACCAACGCAACCTCCAACGCCCTCCTCATAACCTCCACTCGTTTCCCCTGCGATATCCCCTTATTCCCCCCTCCCCCTCCTCCCCCTGCAGCCCTCGCGACATCTTTCTGGCCCCGCGCCCTCGCCCGCGCCAACGACCGTAACCCCGGCACCAGCACCCACGACTCCCCATCCTCAACAGCGCGTAGCCCCTTCCTCGGCCGAATCGGCGGAGCCGGTAACCCCTTTAACACGCCGGTACTCTCATCGTCTGCTTCCGTGCCGCTATCGCTGGACGTGCGCGACCAAGCTGGGTGACGAGGCCGTTCGGTTTGGCCGTGGCCGGTGCGGTGGTAGGGGTGAGGGGAGCGGGAGAACGGTCGGAGGAGATCGGAATTTGGTGTAGGTGTCTGTGTTGCTGTTGCTGCTGTTGATGTCGATGTCGATGGAAGAGGGTCAGGGTCTGGGATAGGGGAAGGGGGAGGGAAACGAGAAGGCGATAGTCTGTCTCCGTTTTCGTCGCGATTTAGCGGAGAGGCCATGATGCCATCCCTTGGGGCGGATCTTCGTGGTTTGATGATAGGCTTATGTGGGATACGTCATGTCGCTAGAAAACAATAAAACTGAGCTGGACAAAATACTCAACAGAGAATAAGATCCCGATAACAGAGCGAGGATAGTAGTGAAAGGACCGTAGTGAAGGAGGCGAAGCTGTTATCATCAGACAAAAGGCGGAAGTGTTTTTCGCTTTCTGCCCTATCAATCACATGCTTGACAGTTGCTATTTTTGCTAATTTTTCCGGTTTGACAGCTTAGTACTTCGATGGAATTCAGGCCAATCTATTATGTTGACCAGGCACAGAATCTATGCATTCCAGACTGTCGAGTTCATCATGCCGGTTTCAGCATTTCAGTGCACCAGTGCCAGCATTCCAGATTAGTATCTGATGGAACCTCACACTCAGTCATTGCGAGCAGCTTGAAGTTCTCGACTATATGCATTACCATGGCATTGTATCGACTGCTTGACTGCAGATCCAGACTATACCCATAGAACAACCACCATGACATAACAACGGCATGGCTACTCTGTACACCCATTAAAACTGTATAACAACCCCACCCCCCAACCTCCTCCCCTCCCTCCCCCAAACTGATAAACAAGGCACAATCTGACCTGGCCACACAAACCCTCTCTCCAACGCCTTCGCCGTATAAAGCACCATATGCTCCCGACCCTGACCCTGACCCTGACCCTGACCATAAACCCGCAGAATCTCATGCAGACTCGATTCCAGATCCAACCCAGAATCTTCACCGATCTCAATGCAGGTGTAGTCTAGCCTCTTATCGACAGTGGTGGTGCATGCATCAACACCAACGCCGATATCCGAAACAGACTTATCCGTCGTCACGGTCACCTCGTCACAAACGCAACCTAATCCCTGCCACTCGACATCGCTGCCTCGCGGTAACTCGGAGATCTGCGCTGCAAGGAATGGAGGGATTGTAGTTGTAGCTGTGTTTGTAGTTCTATCGGCGGGATCGGGTTTCTGCAGGATGTCGAAATTGGGCAATCCCGGCGCAGATTTTGTCGAGGATGTTTGCTCGTATGCGTATTCCCTGCGGCCGTATTTGAGATCCCATGCGTCAAGGGTTGGTTCGTCATCGTCATCCTCCTCGTCATTTTTTTCAGGACGCATGTGCATCTTCGCCCATGTTTCCCAGGCAAGTCGGACTTTGGTATGGATGTAATTATTGTTACCATCATCATCATCATCGCCCGTCAAAAAAGCAACGCCGCCAACCCACCAATCAACCTGCATGGCCGCGCCGATTCGCCACAGATGCTGGAGCGCGAGAACCGCGCGTAAAGCGTATTCTGCTATCCATGACTGCGGCATTTGTTTCTGCTGTGACAAGGCCCCCCAAGTAATCATTTCCATACTCGCCGGTTCAAGTGGGATTTGACCGGCAATGTACACCAACTTACTCGATTCCTGGTCCGATGCCGGAGCCGGGACCGGGACTGAGATGGCCTGCGAGTACGGGCCGATGTTCGCGGGTGCCCAATATGATCGCGACTGCACATGTAGTCCCTGTCGCGCATCCTGCGGGCCAAGATCAACCACGAAAGAGACCATGATGTTGACTCCGTCGGGGAGGGCGTTGCCGCAGGCCACTGTTGCTCTGGCTGGTGGATTAGGTTTCTTGAATAGAGAGACGTAGATGTTGTTCATGCTTGTAAAGTCGGTCATGGAGCGGAGGAGGACCGTTGCGAAGACGATGTCGTCGGTTGACCGGTTGTCACCAGTAGATAGAATGGCTTTCACCTTTTCTGTAATTGCAGTCATCTGCTTGCCAGCGTCGGGACCGGCCTCTGATGCGCTGAGGTTGGATATCGTCCATAGCCCGCCATTGTTCGTCTGAACTGGTTCGCATTGCCATTGTTCTGACACCCTTGCTGCTGCTTCTGCTTCTCCATCCGCGGCAAAACTCATCCCATCAAGCAATGTATCAAACCCCTCATCCAACACCTCCGGCCTCCTCACATCCTCCGGCTTCACCCCATCCCCCTCCCCCTCCTCCTTATCAACACACCTCGCCCCCCTCAACCCCAAAAACCCAACACCCCCCTCCCCGCCCCTAACCTCCCTCCCCAGCACCTCAACCCTCCTCTTCCAAAGAAAACCAGGCCCATCGACAGCAAGACTCTCGTACTCACCTCCCTCCCCCAACACCGCCCCTCTCACACCCCCCACATCCGCCTCCGCAAAGCGCCTCATCGCCTTGATAATACGTCCTCTCGTCGCGGAAGAGGGGCTTGATACATCTTCCCAGAGGAAACTTTCGTCAAGGCCACCGGAGGCCACTTTGATGATTCGTGCTGAGCAGTTGATGGCGGCCATGTCTTCTAGTAAGCCCGCGTCTGCGATGTTGGTAGATAACGCGGATGCATCTCGTCGCTCTGCTGGTGGGGGGAGAATGGGGTATTGCCAGAGCCATGCCAGTGGCACAAGATGTAATCTCGCAGCGACATCCTCGATACGCGTGCGCTGGTACGTAGAAAGAATAGCACCTGCGGAAACAGCGTTGGCTTCTGGGTGTGCTTCTTTGACTCTTCGAAGAAGCGGGATTAATGACTCTGTTTCATCTTCCTCCCCTTCCCCTGCATTTCCTTCTTCATTCTGGTTCTCAGAACTGGTAGCAGAAGTATTCCCATAAACCCTCGCCATATTCACCGCACCACCGCTAATAACCCCCCGATAAAGCGGAATCTGTAGCGCAGTTTCATACAACGGAATCACACTATGACCGATGGTTTGATACATGAAACTGTCGATATCTTCTTCCTCATCCTCATCCCCATCCTCCTGTACACCCGAGCCATCTGGGGCAGAGGTTTTGGTTTGTTTCGGGTAGAGATTCGCCAGCGCAACCACTTTATGGCCGTTGCGGATGCAGTGCAGTATTGAGTAGAGGGAGTCTTTACCGCCTGAGACTAGGGCGATCACGTTTAGGCCGTTTGATGGTGATGGTGATGCCATGGTTGGGATGGTGTGTGTGGTGGTGTCGGGTGATAGTGATAGGCGGGGCGGAGAAGATTTTGTCTCTTGTCTCTCCGGGTTCAGAATGATTGAGGGGGTTCACGGTTTAATTGAAACAGTGGAGACAGTGTGTGATGGAGTCAATTAAGTCTCATATAGAGGATCGTGTTCATGCGATATCTGATGCAGAAAAGATGATCGGGTGAATTCGTTCCGCGCCGGTGGTCTCGAGTAGACCACCGTACTAGACTACAATACTACTGAGACAGCTACGCAAGCAAGTCATTTACAAGATACAGAGAAGAGAATATGTAATGCTGGATGTATGATTTGATGCAACTATCAAAACAAGGCCCTCTTGGGCATGGATGACTGGGAAGATGATTAAACGGTACACATGTGGCCAGCACAAACAACAAGATAAAACACACAATATTACATCAATATAAAAACAGTAGAATGCAATGTAAACGAGAAGTGCCAGAAAAAAAAAAATTGTACACTGAAGTGGAAAATGAGGAAAAGGCAAAAGAAAACAGATGAGAAAAAGGAAAAGAAAAGTAAAAAGAATCATCCCAAGCCACCACTGTATTGGTATCATCATATGCGCTCTAACAAAAATTTTGGTCCGATCCATGTGCGCCCTCGTTTCCCTCTGTTGCAGCCCAGGCAACCCGGTCTATGTCTTTGCTTCCAATGACCGTATATGCAAAATGTGATAAATGAAAAAGGGGACCAACACCTGTAAACCCTCCACTTGGATATCAAACCAGTGTATGAAAATGAACAAGCCCGTACGCCAACCCGCAATGAAAAAGCCTCAAGGCCGATGAGAAGGTATTATGACTCGAAAGTCAAGAAAACAAAAGCTCCTGGTCACGTAGCGTCGTCAAGAAGTAAGCAGCAGACGAACACAGACAGTTTACTGGTCGTCGCGCTTGCGCTTCTTCTGCGAGTTACGTCCCGAGGAACCAGCGTCAGAAGAGTCGCTGGCGGTCGCTGTTTCGTACAAGACTGCGCCCAGTGCGTTCGGATCATGGTAATGACCAGCCGCGTCGCCGGAGTCCATAGCACCCATGACAACAGACTGGCCGCCGTGAGTCCGGGCGTGCTGGGCGAGGTTGTCACTGCGCGAGAACTTCTTGCCACACTCGTTGCACTCAAAGGGCTTGTCCTGGGTGTGCAGAGAGCGGTAGTGACGCTTCAGGTGTTCCTGGCGACGGAAGCGACGCGAGCAGAGAGAGCAGACGAAGGTCTTGGACGGGTCGTCCGTGAGCGACTGCTTGCGACCCCGACGGTTGACCGAGACGGGAGCAGAGCCAGAGTCAGAAGAATCCGCGACCGAGCGGGCTTCAGCGGCAGGTTGAGCGTTGACAGCGACTTGGGCCTTCTTATCCTCCGACTCGCTCTGGGTGGAGCTGGAGCGCTTGATGGGCTTGCGGGAGTTGGTTCGCTGCTTCTTGTTGCTCGCCTCCTCAGACTTCTCACAGACGTGAGCGTGACCGTGGGCGTGGGCATGAGCATGAGCATGAGCATGAGCGCCAGTCAGGTCAGCACCGTCAAGGAAGCCAGCGTGTGCGACATCCTCGTCTTCCAAGCTGTGCTCGCTGAGGAAGCCATCCTCTTCGAAGCTGTAAGCGGCAACACGCTGGCGCTTGTCGCCAGCGAAGTAGGCGTTGTTGCTGGGGTGGAAGTCGACCAGACGGTTGACAAACTCATCCTCAGAGTCGAGGTCAGAGAAGCTGTCAAAAGTCGGCAGCGAGGTAAGAGGGTCCTCAGTGGAGCTGGTGAAGGTAGGAGAAGGGTTCTCATGGACCGGCAGGGTCACTGCGGCAGCACCATCCAGAACAGACTTGGGGTCCTCCTCTTCGCAAGAGAGAGTCGGCAATGGGGGCAGGTCAGAAGCCGAGCCGGCGATCGTCGACTCGACGGTCAACTCCCGAGGGTCACAGAAGTGGGTGGTGGCAGGCTCCACCGACAAAGCAGACTGCGACCGAGCAACCAGACCAGCTTGAGCCTGGGGATCAAAGCTCGAGGACACGGGCGACGGCGACGGCGAAAGAGACGGGCACGAGCTGTTGGCCGAAAGCAAGTCAGAGCTCTGGCTTGCGGTGAGCGAGGGCGGGTGGATAAACACTGTATTGCCAAAATAGGTTAGCGGCCGCCCCAATGCACAAATCGCTTAAAAAAAGTACCCCCAGCACGTGCGAGAATCGCTGCACCAGAGAGCAGGAAACATACCTGGAGTCATTGGAGGAGAATCCGACCGCGTCCAATCGGCGTTGGCCAGGATCTCGGTGTGGACATCGCTCTCACAACCTTCCTTGACACCCTCCACCTTCTCAAAAGCGAAAAAGGTGTCCGAAATCGGGGTGTGTTGCGCACCACTGGTCGAAGGTGGGCTACTGATGGAGCTTCCGGAGGCGGAGAGCGGTGGGGTTGACGGGAAACCATAGAAATCAGTGCTCACAAACCTGGTGTCGAGCGGCATGAGACCGGAAGATCCTGGCTGGACGACAATGGTGGGCTTGAGGTGGGATGGCTGCGGCGAGGCGATGGGGGTCATGTTCATGGTCCCCCGGAAGGCGTTGGCGGTCGCCATTTGGTGCATGTTCATCGCGGGCTGGTAGTGTTGGTCGGGAAGACCGTGTGCTTGCTGCTGAGGGTGTTGAGGGTACTGCATCTGACCATAGTAGGGCTGCATCTCGGATGGGTGGCTGGGGTAGTGGGTATGTTGTCGTTGCGATACGTCCGAGGGATAGTATGCGAACGAGGTAGGAGCCATTGTGTATGTTTCCATTGTCTGGAGAGTTAGTCGGGCCCGAGGTATACAGAGGTAAAGAAGTATAGGTACTCACGATGTGTGATAAGAGCAGAACGGGTTCTACTCCAGTATTATTAGGTATAGATAGGGTGTTAATGTCGAGGTATTATTAGTGGTTGATATAGTTTGTCGACAGAATGAATGTGTCGAGTATGCGAATGAATGACTGAGGGCGCAGAAAGATTGATGGCCCTAGTAGTTGTTGTTGTTGGTAGAAGAGAGTTGAGTATATATAAACCAATCTCTCTCAAACAATCTTATCTTTTCTTCTTGTTGTTGAAGTGATAGATCAAAAATGAAGGACAACGAGTCTTGTAGACAACTTATAGCAGGGGTGGGATGGGGGGGGAATATAAGAATCAATGAAAGAATGGAACAGATGATCTGGAACGAAAGGGAAGAAAAAGAAAATATAAAAGACCACGCCCTAAGAACAGATAGATAGATATAGAGAGAGAGAGAGAGGAAAGAGAAAGACTGAAGTAGTAAATGAGAGACAAGAGACTAAATAAAAGAAGGAAGAAGGGAAAGAAGGTCGAGAAAAAAGAGGACGAGCGCAGATAAAGAAGTGTTCAGCGCAGTCAGACAGAAATAAACCCAAAGCCAAATAATCCATCAATCAAACCACCAGCGGGGAAAATGAGAGACAGGCCCGATGGAGACGGTTAGCATAAAACGAGTGACTGATCTGCTTGTGCTACTGATATTGGAGTCGAATTAGGTTGTACTTTTGTATCTTACCGTAATGTACGGTATACGTATGTATAAGTACTACCGGACCCGCAGTGGATCTGGTAAGCCGCAGCCAATAGAAAGCACCCGATCAGCGGGGATAGCATCATCAGAGCAGCGCCCCCTTGTCCAATCACAATTTTCCCTCGATTTGGGCGGCAGGCAGTGTCGGAAGCCCACTTGGACCTTCAACCAATAGTAAAATTACATCCCACAGACTCACTTTTTCTTAGTCTCAAGAGTCATTCTCGGGCAACTCACTATTTTCGGCAAAGTGCTATGGAACCCCCAAAGAGCACGAGGGCCCACGGGGCGGGCCCTTTGCCCCATTTGGTCCCAAGTCAAATTCTCTGGGTGGACGACTAGTCGGGTACGCTTGGTCCTCACATTGGTAAATGCGGAGGATGGACGTGGGAGGGTACGTATGTGTATTGTGTACGAGAGAAAAGTCACTGCCACTCTGTCGCAATTTGATTTAATGTTTACTTATTTAGGGCAGAGAGGTCTTGCCACCCGAAACTACCTGTAGAGTGTATGTATTCATTATACCAAATCTCAAACGTGGTGGTCAAATCCTGAGACCAAGTATCCGTCAATGACAATGGTCATCCCATACTGATGTGTGAAGAGGTCTCATCACTATCCTACATCACTGCATCATCACCACTTACTCATTCATCCATACAGAGCTGGTGGACCAGGGTCAGGAGACCGGGATCCTGATGTGTACTAAATCCTGTATCTGACCAATAAGAAAACCATATGCAATAGTAGCACACCGCGCACAATTTCCTGGCCAATAATGCTCGACCCGCCAAAAAAGAGGCTGGCAGTCGGTTAAGCTAATGTGCTAAACACCGCGGCCGGGTCCCATCCCGTCCGCATCTTGGGGTACGGACGGGCTCTTAAGTACACTACTATGTACGATATACTGATAGGAGTAGTTATCGTCGTTTTGTTCGTTGCCGGGCTGGTTCTAACATTTCCGCGATCGGCGCCCTAGTCCAGTAGTACTCTGTAGAGATGGAAAGGCTGGATACCCATTACGGAATAGAACAGATATCCTCATCGTTGTCGACTTTCCCTAGTAGCAAGATCGAATATCGCCCAGAAACAACTAGTGGCAATTCGAGAAAGAACCTACTAAAGGCTACAAGTACGTTCACATGATTGATACACTACCGATCGAATGATAGCACGCATAAGATAGCACAACTCGACAACGGCCGACATAGCTTAATACAAAGGAAAGGAAATGTCCGCTATTGAAGTTTACCGCCCATCGGCCTACCAGAATCGGGTTAGTTCGGCTTTCACACTAACCGCTGTTTTGTATGCACGTCCTGATTCTTTCTTTTCCTGGGGAAGTTATCAATTATTAGGAACACTGACTCGATTTTTTTTATTTTCTCTTGATACGGTCATACGGGAGCATGCAATGTGATTTCCAACTGGACGGTATTTTATTTTTGATTTTCTTTTTTCTAGGCAGGCACACAACAAACAAACAGAGAATGCCTCACATTTGAGATGCGACCTGTCCCTCGGTCTACTGCAGGAACCGTGCGGAGGATCTGTCAGGCTACCCTGCCCTTGCTTATGTATCTTTGTGTAACTGTGTATTATTTATGTATATGCGTACAAATATATATTTTGAAGGAATACACACACGTATAAATAAAGAAAAGGATACATAATATGCATGTGGGCTGTCAAAGGACGATGCACCGTCGATTCACCGTTGGATGGT